AGCTCAAGTGGTAGAGCGCTCGCCTTGAGCTGAAGAGCTGAGGGACAGCGCCCAGGCCCAGAGTTCAAGCCCCACGACCGACAAAAAAAAAAAGTGCTGAGGGACAGCGCCCAGGCCCAGAGTTCAGGCCCCACAACCAGACCCCCCCCCAAAAAAAAAGAAATGCAAATCAAAACAACATAGAGATTCCACCTTACCCCACTTAAAATGACTATAATCAAGAAATCTAATAACAAGAGATGCTGGAAGGAATGTGGACAGAAGGGAGCCCTACTGCATTGGTGGTGGGAATGTAAACTTGTTCAACCACTTTGGAAAGCAGTATGGAGGTTCCTCAAAAGACTATACATAGAGCTGGCCTATGACCCAGCAATCCCACTTTTGGGCATTTACCCAAACGATCACAAACAAGAAAGACTTTTTGAGATGAGTGATCTTCAAAAGGATGACACAATTTAATAAATAAGATAGGAACAATGAAAACAAAGACCAGAGATGATTTTCAGTTTTGGACATAGACATCATCAGATTTTCTATCAAGTCAGTGTCTAACAGCAGGCAAAAATCTAAGTGTGCTGATGTCAGAAAAATGTACATAAATTGACTCTGAGGACTTCTGTTCACAGAGGTGACCAACAACAGAAGTCATGTTATAGAAATAAGAGGAAATAGCCAGGTGCTGGTGGCTCACTCCTGTAATCCTAGCTACTTAGGAGGCTGAGATCTAAGGATTGCAGTTCAAAACCAACCCATTCAGGAAAGTCCATAAGACTCTTATCTCCAATTAATGAGCAAAAAGCCAGAAGTGGAGCTGTAGCTTAAGTGGCTGTAGCTATAGCTCAAGTACTAGCCTTGAGCACAAAAGCTCACGGAAATCACCCAGGTCCTGCGTTCAAGCCTCAGGACCAGCACATACAAAAAAAAAAGAAAGAAAAATACAAAAAAAGAAAAAAAAAGCTCAACTTTGAACGGGTAGAATATTTACAACTATGGAAAAGGTGAGGAAGAAGCTTGATATTACAATATAGGTTCCATTTGGGCAGAATCTAATTTCATCGCTAACACACCTATAGAGTTATACATATGAGAGGATGTGGACCAGAGAGGGTGCAACATTGAAAATGAGGAGGGCAAGAGTGGTTTTCAGTGTGGTAACTATGAGCATACCATTGATTAACTGTTGAAATATTTATGAACTCACTGGTAAAGATCCACTGCCAATTATCCTCCCCCACACCCACACATTAGTTTCCTCATGCACCAACTCCCCTATCCAGACCAATTGGTTCTCCTATGATATAGCAACTAAACAAAGTGACTCCTGACACAGCAGGTGCCTTCAGGACAAGATGAAGATTGAAGAGTCATAGCCCTTGTCAAATGGTGGCTGAGACAGGGGAGAAAGCAGGGCTCAGCAGAGAGCTACATGGAAGCGAGACCCCCTACAGTCTACACTAGAGTAAGGATGGCTAGGAGATTATCAAAGGAAAAAACAGGAACAGCTTAAAGCAGCAACAGATGCAGAAAGGTTTTTGTGGGTTTTTTTTTAAGATTAAGAAGAATTAAACATACTCATAAATCAAAGGAAATTAGCACAAAAAAGCCTATGAGAGAAACTGAATCAATAGATCATGTGAAAATAAAAAATGTAAAGATGGAAATTCTAAGAGTAATAAAATAACATGTGTCAAGTTCTATTCTAAAAGCTACAAGAAAAATTAATTAAAAGCTGTACTTTTAATTGCTTAAGAGTTGTGAGTTCATCCTTGTAAAGATATGGAAACTGAGAAAAAGAGTATGAGAAAGGAGAGTTGGAGATCATGTGACTGACACATACTAACAGTATGGAGTACTTGGCACACATGAACGCATCTGAATCCAATCAACCATGCAATGACATTTATCATCAGTATTTTTTGGACACATTAGCTGCCTAGAAATTATTTTAAGAGGAAAATACTGCAGATCCAGGGCTTGAATTCCAAAGGCAAATTATAACCATGTTTTACTTTATTTCTTATGAAAAGAGTAAGATTGCTATATTTTGCAGCCTCCAGAGAAGGTTAACCTATAAATGTTTCAAAAAAGCCAAGAATTCTTACCGTTAGGAGAATAATGCTTGGTGGCTTCATAGGATACTCTGGTGGCAGCACTATTCGACCATGATAAACTCCTCCATCAAAATCAGAATCTGGGGGCCCTCTCACTGTGAAGTGCCATTCAAAAAGGTTGTCCTAAACGAAAACAACAATCCATAAGGGGATCAACAATATTAAAAAGCTTGATCGTTTTCATCAACATGAATATTAAAGTATCAGATAAGAAAAATCAAATGTTTTATATTATTGCTAAGGTAGTTCTAATGCACAAAATTTGTCAAAAATAAAATTATAAATAAAAAATAAAAGCTGTTTAAATTTTGTCATAAGAACAAAAATTTTATTTTCAAAAACAAAAACTTCTAAGAAGCCAGGTGCTGATGGCTCACTCCTGTAATCCTAGCTACACAGGAGGCTGAGATCTGAGGATTGCAAGAAAGTCCATGAGACTCTTATTTCCAATTAACTACTCAAAAAAGCTGAAGTGCAGCGCCACGCACAGGTGGCTCATACCTACTCAGCAGGCTGAGATCTGAGAACTGCAGTTTGAAGCAAGCCCAGGCAGGAAAGTCTATGAGACTTTTACCTTTAATCTCCAATTAACCACCAAAAAAAAAAAAAAAAACCCAGAAGTAGAGCTGTAGCTCAAAGTAGTAGAGCATTAGCCTTGAGCAAAAAGTTCAGGGACAGCGTCTAGGCCCTGAGTTCAAGCCCCAGGACCAGCACAACAA